CTGTGAGTGACACGCAGTCTGATCTGAGCACCCTAAGCAAGCCTGGTGCTTTCAGGTGCTCTGATGATATCCCATTGCTGGCGCTGAAGTAAGGCTGCATACATACCATACATTTAAAGCAAATATCGCTGGATAGGGATAGCCTGAACACAGTTGTCCATACATATGTAACCTTGCAGCTGCATTACTGCAATGCACTCTTTGTGGAGTTGCCTTCAGGGTTGGTCCGGAGGCTGCAGCTGGCGCAGAATGCAGTGGCTGACTTGCTTGTGGGGGCAAACTACAGCTAGCATATAAGCCCCCTGTTAGCAGGACTTGCACTGACTGCCAATCTGCTACTGAGCCAAGTTCAAGATGTTGGTACTAACCTAGAAGTTCCTACAGCTCAGCATCAAGTTGCTTAAGAAACCGCCTTATCCTTTATACACCCAGTAGATGACTGCCATCTCCTGGAGAGAGTTTCTCCTGCAAACTCCAAAGATATGAGAAGCCTGCTCCCCAGTAACTTGGAACAGAGCCTTCAGCGTGGCTTTCCCTGTTCTGAGGAATAGCATTCCTCTTTGAGATGGAGCAGGCAATCACTCGCTGTACTTTTCCAAAGCAGCATTTTGGTTCCCACAGGTTTTCCCAGCGCCATAAATTGGTCTTTTACCACCAGTGCCTACGTTAGGTTTTTAGACCTGTTTTAAATGTATCTGCCGTTTTTAATTATCTCATGTGTAAATCACCTTGAGACAGTTGTTTAGAAAGCAATTAATAAATCACAGATGGGTATGATGATATTAAGAATCATAATTTAAAGCACAAAGCTTCACCCAGGAAGCCTAGGAACTGTGATTTACATATAATCAATCCCCAGCACTCATAACAAACTAGAGTTCTCAGCATTCTTTAGGGTGAGTGCAAATGCAATTTCTGTCACTTTACACACCCTTCTCACTAGAACCAGAAGTGTTGTGTGTGGAGGGGGGTGTCACGTTTTACTAGCAACCCCAGCTCTGGGCACAAGCTCTGGAGTCCCCCAAATGGAGTCACAACCTTGTTATAAGAATTTTAAGGTCTCAAATATAGAATATTCTTAAATGCACACATATCTGAATATATGAACCATGTGTCTGAAATAGTATGGGAGAACAATCCTGAAGCCATTTTGATTCTCCCACATTGACCTCAAATATTCCTCTGCAGTAAGGGAGGCAAATGGGGAAAGCCTTCCCATTGTCTTTTGCTTGCAAATCCTGTCTTAAAGGGCGTATTTGTGTATGAATCAGGTGAGCCTGTGACCTGGATTCAGGAACTAAAGTATTAACCATCACAAAAGAATAGCCAGACTGCACTGGTAATGCAATCAGTGACCATTATCAAGTATCCTGACAGACAGGATTTCTGCTGTAGACCACTGCCTCCTGTGATGTATGTATGATGTTTTACAGGGGTGGTTTTGGGCAACAGGGTGGGCAATTTCAAGGGTCTATATAAGGGCTTGTGCACCATTGTTCAGAGTCCTCCTCCCTCCTGCATGTGGTGAGTGGGGATCCTGTTGCAACAGTTTATTTCCTTTAATAAAGATCAGGCTTACTAGCCGCTTTGCTTCTTAATATACTCTGGTTGGCCTCTGTTATTTTCTCCTACTGATAGGGAACCCACTTAAGGACTCTATACAGGCTCTTGGACACCCCATAAGGGAAAAGGAGCAGGTTTTTTTCTTATAACATTGGACATATTAATGATTTATATGAAAGGCTTCTTTGCTGCTTTGGGGGGAAATTGCTTCACGATCAAGCAAAAGGGAGCATTAAAATGAAGCAAATTTTACCACCGCAAAACAGAAATGGGATAAAAACCAGGCTGCAAATACACCATGCATTTAAGTCACCATACATTTAAGACTCCCCACCCCACCAAAGGATTTTGGGAACTGTTGTTTCCCTCTCACAGAACTATAATTCCCAGCACCCTTGAACTACAGTCCTGTCCGTTTTAAAGATGTTTCACCATTATGAGGTCTAGAAGCTCTTGTTTTGTTTAAAGGCAAATTTCTACACACGGAATTATTTTTCTCTTCCAGAAACAAGCAGGCCTGGGCAAGAGGTTGATATCAAAAGTTGAAATCAGAGACTCAAAGCTTTGGGAGACACCAGTGGGAAGTAGACGTTTGTTACACCATAAACACAGATTGTGTGTTGCAAGGAAGCTGGGAAAGGAAGTCTGAGTTTTTGTCTGGATGTATACAGTATTTTGCCTTAGGCCTAATTCTGATCTTTAGAGGTATGTGTGGAAGAAACAATGCCATTGTACTTTGATTTATGTAAGCTTGTACGAACCTTCTAAGTTTCTAGTTTACAATGTTTTTCTGACATGCTTGCCTGCATTTGCTCTTTGTTTTTTAAAGGGCCAAAATTGCTAACAGTTCCTTGCCTGGTCCCCTGTGGGGGAGGAAACACTGGCCCGCCATGCTCCAGCTGGAGAACAGCCTTTCCCAAAGGTGCCATGGGCTTTCAAGACACTCGAACTCAGGACACAAGGGAGAAACGTGCTAAAAGGAAGGCATGCTTGGCAAACCCTCACCTGATCAACTCCCACCCAGAAACCAATGTCCTCACTGTCGACGGACAGGTGGATTCAGAATTGGCCTCCACAGTCACTTATGGACTCACTTTTTAAAACCGTGTTTATGGAAGACAATCTTACTTGGCTACAAGTGATCGCCAAAGAAGCTATAACCGTGGGATAGTAGCTACAGGCCTAATTATTACAGTTTGATATTTGCACATGTTCTTGCATTTAAAAACAACGGAATTTGATCTTTGGGGATTCTAACCTAATCTGAACTTCCCAGGCTCTAACATATGAATCAGGGCTTACAGCACAATGCTAACTTTCTGCTCAGCAGGAAGTCCTAATGAATTCACTGGGTCTATAACCAGGTTAGTGGGAGCTAGAATTTCAGCCTTTGAGGTGTGTGAGATGAGGAAGGAGCTCTCCCAATTCATCCCTGATCCAGGAAACAGTTTGTTGGACTAGGGATGCATCATCTGAACTAGACGCCACTGAATACAGAATGGTCCTTGTTGCAAGATCCCTTTCAGTCTTGCTATGAAGGCACAACCAGTGTTGCTGGCCTTCAGTGTAGCACTTCCTTCACTCAAAAATTGCCTTTTTCTTGTTAATCTCAAGGTATTTGGGGCAAGGTCCAGGGTTGAGGGGGATCTGGGCAGTGTCTGTTAATAAAGTATAGGCTGCTCTAATCTTTATGATGGATGGCGATAGCCCATGGTCCTTCCAGTTGCTGCTGTACTCCAACAACAGTCTGCATTAAGCTTACCAGACGTCCCCATTTCCCGGGAACAGTCCCCAGATTTACAAATCAGTCCCCATACAAAATCCATTGAAGTTGAAGTGTCCCCGGATTCATTGAAAAAAATCTGGTAACCTTAAGTCTGCATGGCCAATGGTCAGGTTGTAGTCTTAATGACCAGAGCCAGGGCCACAGGTTCCTCATCAGTTAGATCTCTACAGATCTCTATACTTGTACAACTAAGATTTCCCACCCCCAAATGGATTCCAGTTGGTCACTGAGAACAGGATGCTGGACTAGATGGGGGGGCCATTGGGCTGAACAAGGAGGCTCATCATATGTGAGAGTCAGGCTGGCTTTGCAGTTCCCCTTCTGAAGAAGTGAAGGTGAAAGCAGGAAGACTCTGTAGATTTAAACCAGGAGGTTCCCTTACTTTTCATTTTGTATCTTCCACAACCAGCCAAAACAATGGTGGTGCATTAGAGATTCTTTCCTCTGGAACACAAGTGTCCATAACTCCCCCTTGGACAGATGGGCAAATGCTAAGTTTCTGCCTTTAAAAAATGCTTGAATCCTCTTAGGTTACACAAGATAAATACAAGTGAATTTGACCTCTTTATTATTATTATTCCAGGTGCAAATTCTGGGGTATTGCAAAATATATTTATTGGTGGATGAATGGAAGAAATCTACTGGGCAAGATGAAAAATTTGACAAGGACCTTTCTTCAAAGGATTTTGAGGTTTTAGCACAGAGTAGCTAGCTGGATCTTCATTCGCACTGCCGTAGCCCTTCAGAGAGCTAAAAAATGTAAACAAAAACAAAAAACCCTAAACGTAGACGGTTCGTCTCACCCATGAAGGCGGCTAGATGGATAGATGAGGGCTACATAAAATGGACGCTTTTCACCAAACCTATAAATAATTTGGTGGAAATCAGTGCCACAAAATAAGGCAAGTACGACTAGATAACTGTCTAGATTCCAATTTGTTGCCATTTGCTGTGAGAGAACCTTCACAGACAGAAGCATTTTACCTCTGAATACTAGATACCAACAGCTACCTGCCTGTTTGTGACATAATATAGCCACAGGGAACCTACTGTTCTCCATATCTTAATAGACACCTAACTCACATCTGCCCCTGCCAAGCATGGACAGTGGTCAGTGAACTGTAGCAGAACAGTATCTAGTGTGTCACAGGTTCCATCATTCTTCTGGCATCTTCTGAGTGTCTGTCAGATGGGTATTTGGTGTAATACAGCAAGGTTGTTCTTCAGGTACACAGGCTCATTTGGGTCAGATTTTTACTGCCCCCAAATAGCAACTGCATAAATCTACAGAATATGGGGCACTGCTCCAAAATTTATAATGTATGCAAATTTCCAACAAAGTAACAAGAATGGCTATAGGTGAAGATGGATTTTAGAAATCTGAATTGCCAATGGACTTTGTTCTGATTTCCCCACCTGAAAGAATTGTTCATGAAACCCAAACACACTGTCCCCACCCACCCACTTCTTTTTGCTACAGCATAGTAGTGGATAAGCTTTTTGCTGGGAGGGACCCAGCTGCTGCACATATTTTCTCCTGCCTCTGTTTCAAGGGATGGTCCTCCCTCTAGCTGTTGTAATACTGTGGTGGGTTGGCTTGTTTCAAAGCAGAAAAATCCCTTTCCCATTAGTACAAAAGGTGCGCTAGATCTATCGCTCAGATAGTCACGGCTCAATCTGGGAGGCGACTTCTTTAATTACAACAAGAACGCAAAAAAAAAAAAAAGACGTGGGGAACACCTTGACACCAAAAGTATACAAACAGGAATATCGGATCACAGTAGTTTTTGTTTCGTTTTTTTTTAAAAAAATGCGTCTTAGAAAACCATTAAGGAAACGTAAAGGCGGCAAATACAGTGCCCACATGGTGCTTGGCAAGCCAGCTTCTATATGTTTCAATTTCTGGAGATTTACAAAAGAAAGCAGAACAGTATTTCGAGGCAAAAAAAAATAATACATTCCTTGATGAAGAATGCTCTAGTTATCAGATTATCAGTGCCTTCATGAATTCTAAAAAAAAAAAAAGTGTGCCCTTTAAGAAGGGATTGTTGGGCACATACATAAGATGCTGGCAGTTTGGTTGTATTCCCCCACGGAACCCATGTTGAAAAAGTCAGTCCCCAGACACCGAGATGATGTGTTTACCCTGCCCCTCCTATTTCTACCACTCTTTTTTCTTCTCATCCATAGACACGCCACCAGGCCCAAGGGCCACCACCAGCAGGAGGCCTCCGATGACGGACATGGTCTGGAAGAAGTCGTACTTGAGGAAGTCATGCATGGGTTTGTAGACTGGGATGGTCCAGAAGGCGTTGAAGTAGATGTTGATGGCAAAGAGCCAGATGACCAAGGTCAAGGCGGCCAGTTTTGTCTTGAAACCAACAGCCACAAGGATGATCAAGGCTGTGCCCACGATGTTCTGGAGGATCTATGGGAGGAGATGGGATAGAGAAAAGTAGAATTCAGCAGAGGCTGGTGTAAGGGAGAAGAGGGCATCTTACCCCACCTAACTCAGCCTCCCCTCAGCCAGGCCTCACCTGCTGGCCTTAGGATTTGCCACCATTCTAGGGGGAGGCAGCCCTGGCTGTCAGCCTCCTCCTCCTTAGCCTCCCAGGTCTTTGACAACAGGCATTTTCAGTGGCGGAATGCTCACACATGCTCACACCCACCCACCCAGGAAGCAGACCTTGCGCCATCACTGTCATGTTTATCCAGGCTTATGGTTTTTAACTGGGAGGGTAGTTAAATCTATCTGTTGGGCTTATCCTTTACATGCAGTGGAATAATAATAATAATAATATATTATATATATTATATTATTATATTTTATTATTTATACCCCACCCATCTGGCTGGGCTTCCCCAGCCACTCTGGGCGGCTTCCAAAAAAAATATTAAAATACTGTAATACATCAAACATTAAAAGCTTCCCTAAACAGGGCTGCCTTCAGATGTCTTTTAAAGAAAAGATAGCTGCTTATTCCCTTGACATCTGATGGGAGGGCGTTCCACAGGGCGGGTGCCACCACCGAGAAGGCCCTCTGTCTGGTTCCCTGTAACCTCACTTCTCGCAATGAGGGAACCGCCAGAAGGCCCTCGGTGCTGGACCTCAGTGTCCGGGCTGAACGATGGGGGTGGAGATGCTCCTTCAGATATGGAAGGACACATTCCTTGTAAATGCATTCTTTTATTTATCTATTGCTGTTTTAAAATCTGATATTCATGTCTTTGCTATTTTATTTTTACTCTATGGATTGCTTTGAGGCAGCTGAGTGCAAAAAAATATGGCCAATGCATACAATAAATAACAATAGCATCTCATTAGGAAGGAGGGTGAGGAGAAAACTATCATCGGTTGACTCTGCCTGCCCATCACTTGCTCTGGCTCCCGCTGACATTGGCCTCCCTGCTTTCCAACCTACCAGGATCAATAGGCACCTACCAGTGCTGGGAATAGGAGGAGCTGGAGGAGGAGGAGGCAAATTCCATACAAAAATACCTCTCCCACTAATTAAAAACAAATTATTTGCAATGTTTGGGCCACTTACCGAAAAGAAGCTAGCATCAAAATGCAGCAGCGTCATAAACATGAGGACCAGCAACACTCGTCCACCCAGCTGCATGTACTGCTTAGGGGAACTTTCCCGCATGGTGGGGACTCCTGCGAACATGCTCTTCCCCTCTGACCGTGATTCAGCCAACAGCAGCAGCAGACCACCCCCCAGAGCAAGGTTCCTGTAGACGGTGAAATATGGTCAGTCCAAAACACACACACCTGAATACCTACACCAGGTGTGACAAGATTCACAAAGGGCTTGTGCACCAACAAAAATTAAAGTGACACAATCAAATATGCTGTTACAAGTCTTAAGATGCTTAAAGGTTATATGCTGGTTGCCTCTGGAGTTTTTGAGTGACAAGTCCCAAGAGTGAAAGTGGCTTACATTTTGACACCTGAGATGTATATATCTTTTGGGATCCACCTTATTTCTGTGATTGTAAGTTGTAAACAGTTTTTTAACCTTGCGATTTGATTGTTGTCACCAAACTGAGGCCTTAAGAGTGAAAGGTAGGTAACAGATGATAGCGATGATCATAAAACGTTAAGAAACACTCAAAAGCAACCTTGACAAGCAAAATGCGCAAGGGACACTATAATCATTTTCCTCAGTGCTGGCTGGTTAGAAGTGAACGATAAATGAAACTAAGATTAAATAAGCAAGAACTAGTAAAACGAGATAAAAGAGAATGAGACATACCTCATCAAAAACTTCAGATCCCATAAAATGCTGTACGCAATTGTCTAGGAGGAAACAACCAGACACGATTGAACCCTTTGCTTAAAACCACCCTTTCCTTTTGATCTCAAGCTTGAAGCAGCTAAATACTCCAAAAAGAAGCTTGGCATCTATCTGCTGATGCTCACTCTCATCGCTTCTTCTACCTTCCCTCTCCCACACTCTTTTTCTGTCCCCTATTTAGCACACAAACTCCTTGGGACCAAGGATCTGTTATGTTCACTTATGCTTTCTCTGCAAAGATCTATGCACATTAATGTCACTGTGTAAATAAGATGGGTTCTTTGGACAAGCAAGGGGTATGAGAGTGAAAATGGAGCAGCGCTTTTTTGCTAAAGAAAAACAAATGCCTTACTGCTAATATATTTTGCAAACATGTGCATGACTTAGAGAGGAGGGTACCCATTTTAAATTTATTTTGCTTCCCTGCTCTCCCAAGAACTTTGCAGCAGCTATCTCATAAGGTAAGAACATAAGATGAGTCTGTTGGATCATGTCAACAGCTCATTTAGTTCAGCATCTTGTTCTCACAGTGGTCCCCAGATGCCACACTAGCAGGACCCAAGCACAAGAGCATTCTCCCCACAGCAACTGCAGTGTTGCTTCTGGCTGTGAGGCAGAGCATAGCCATCATAACTCAGGGCTCAAGGTGAGTGTGCAGATTCCACCTGAAGTACTGAACATTAAACTGCTGGACACGGGGCTGTTTTTAAATTTCTGTTTGCCCCCCATTGTGGTTTTCTTTGAGAAAACAAGAGGTGTTTTTTCCCACTTCTGCATAACTCAGGGCTAATGTGACCACGCCTCTTGTTTTGACTTCGAGCCCGTCAGCACTCAGACACCTTAGTTTGCTACTGGAGGGGCGCTTGCGGGGCAATGGAACCTCCAGCTTCAGAGCCAGGAGGGGCAAGTGTGAATAGGCACGATTTTTCAGTGTTGTGCAATTAAGAGTTGGGATTGATTTCCTTACCTGGAGTGCTATAATGCCAAATAATCCAAAGCAGGCATACTGAACAAAGTTCCTACTCAGCACTAGGATGCAGCCACCTAGGAAAGGAGGCGGAAGAGAAGAAATAGCCAAGTCAACAGCATTAGTGAATCATGTTCCCCTTGCTAAGGTTCTGTTGACCCTCCTGTCTTTTAAATCCTTGACTCGCCTGCAAAGCTTTCTGCTGGCTTGTCTCTTGAACCATAGCCTTCATTCCTCAAACTTTAGCAACATCAATCTCTTTAAAGGCAGCCTTGTTTTTAAGCACTAGTCCAGCAGCCACCAGATCACCTGCCTGTCAACCATGTGACATGGCCATGACATCAGCTGACCCGTTTTCCTTTCCCACTAAAAGCAAACTCAGGGGACCGAGTGCTGACAGACATGGGAGCCAAAAGAGAGACAAAAACAAAGCACATAGGCAAAGGTCCAGGGCTTGGCATGCACTGATGATCAGCTGTCATATACAGTCAGGTGCAGGGCTGTTGGGCATGGGTTGGCTGAAATCAGGTCCACGGAGTGGAGATTCCCCACTGCTCTTCTACAGTATATTAAGCCAAGAGTATATTAAGCAATTGTCACTGCAATTTACAACTGAGGAAATACTCCAAAGCTCACCTACGTGAGCTGTTGGGCATCAAGCCATGGTGTACTGCTGCAGGATTGGAAAATGAGAGGCCTGTGAGTGGCTGTTTCTGCTTTATAAGCCACCGGGGGGGGGGGGTGAGAGGAGAGAATGGGTGAGGAAGAATGAAAATGACTCTGCAGGAGAATGAAAGGATGGTTGACTTGTAGAGGTGGCAACCATTTTAGGCATGCGTAATTGATGCACGATTGCTAGTGTACAAGTCCTTTTGGACCCGGAAGAGGCCAGAACGGGTGTGGGGGTGTAATGGGGTGCAACGTGCTTATGAATGCTCTGGTGATGCATGCAGGTGCCAGGAACGGAAACCTGCCTCCCCCTGGAAAATGGTCACTACCTGTAGGAACCTGGAAAGGTTGCCCACAATCTGACTGTATGATGACTGGGGCTCCTATCTCTAAAGAGGGTGGGGGACCTCTGGTCCAAGGGCTTAACTTGGCCCACCTTCCAATCACTTGATACCATGTGTGTTGTCAGCAGGAGGGTAAAAAAATGAGCTGGGTTGGCCAGAAGGGTCTCCTTAAGTGTTGCTGATCAGTTGATCTGTGGGGCTTCAAAGCACAGTGCAGAGCTCTTTGCAGCCAGTCCCTTACCAAGAGCCCCAAATGGTGCTTTGAAGCCCTGCAGATCAGCTGATTCATGGGGCTTCAAAGCACCTCACCACTAGGCATAATTATCAAATTTGGGGAGGGGTGATAAGGATTCGGCCTGCCGGATGTATCTGCTTCCCCACCCCTGGATTTAAGAAGAGTGAGGGCGGCTTCAAAACCTGTCATCTGGCATAAAGGGGTGGGGAAGGGGACTGTGAATGCTCTTAAGGGCTGTGATCTTGTAGAGGACATGCCACTATTATAGACTGGGCAGCTGTAGTCCAAGCAGAGAATTTATGGGTCCCCTTGGTCCAGGAACCAGAATCTCCATTTAACAACAAGCGTACATGGATCTCAGTATTGTGCCACTTACTTAGCTGTCCAAAAAGGTTAATGAAGACAAAGATGGAGGCCAGGAAGTACCCACAGTTCCATGTGGCATCAATGTAGTCCCTCTGCTCGCTCCACTGGAACCACATGCGGATGCCATCTTCAAGGAACGTGCTGATCAAGCAGAGGCGGGCCACATGCGGGAGGTACTGTTTTGTCACTCGCAAGAACTGCCAGGGGAAAGAAACACAGGTGAGAAGAGTGGGCAGGAAGCAGGGACCGCCTGGCTTCCTACCTGGATAGGGATGGCTTTCCCCTCAAAGCACTGCTGTGTTCTCCCTCTGGTGTCAAAGAGGTAGCATTGCCTCAATACCTGTTGCTGGGAATCGCGAGTGGAAAAGATTCAGGTTCTGCTTTCAGGCTTCCCTTAATGGGCCTCTGGTTGGCCACTGTAAAAACATGTTGAACTACATGGGCCTTTGACCTTATCCAGCAGAGCTTTTCCTAATGTCCTTAAGGGCACTTCCAAAGTGTTTGGCTTGGGGAATACCTTCTCATCACTTAAATGTAAACAAACCAGATTTGTATCTTGGGTGGTAAGGTTGACCCACCAGGAGACTCAAGCCAGAGCAAGTTCCCTCTGAGGCAACTGCAAACTGAGTGGGATGCAGGAGCCATGCCCCTTGACTCACGTTACATAAAGGGTGGAAATGGGGCACATGCCAAAACGCATCTAGCTTGAAAATGTCTCCAATTGTGTGACTGTACAGAGACCACAGCTAATCAAAACTGGAGGGGAGGGGGGACTTGCATTGAACCAGCCTTTGAAAACTTGGGTACTCCCCATATTTTTTGGGACTACAACTTCTATCATGCCCAACTATCAGCTATCATGCCCAACTATCAGCAATGCTGCCTGCGGCTGATGGGAGTTGTAGTCCAACACACACACACAAACCAACCAGGATGGCACCAGGTTAGTGAAGGCCGCAGTAGGCAATCTAATCCCAGAGCTATAGCAATAGGTCACACTAAAGGATTTGCTAATCCACCACCTTGTTTCTCATAATGCATTTATCTATATCTATCTATCTATCTATCTATCTATCTATCTATCTATCATCTATCTATCATCTATCTATCATCTATCTATCTATCTATCATCTATCATCTATCTATCATTTCCTCATTTAATCCTCGTAACAGCTCTGCAAGATAGCTGAGGCTGAGAGGTAGTGAATGGCCCACAGCTCACACAGTGAGCTTCATGGCCAAGTGGGGATCTGAACCCGTCTCCCAGGTACTCATCCAGCACTCTTAACCATTATAACACACTGGTTCTCAATTGCCAGCCCTAGATGCTCCAAAGATGCCTCGTTTACTCCAGTACTGACCATTTATGAGACAAAAGGCTCAGAGATAAGTCTATTTAGCCAGAGCCTTTTAACAGACCAAATTCTCCATGATTTCTTTTTTAAAGCTATTTTAAGCTAGTGGCCCTCTCCAGTGTACTCCATAATTTAAATGTACACACAGTGTAAAGTACTTCCTTTTGCTCATCCCGGATCTACTGCCAAACCAATCAGTTCAATCAGATGACTTTGAGCTCTAGCACTAGGAGAGAAAGAGTGGATTCTCTGCCCGCTCTCTCCCCAGAATGTATAATATAGATTGCAATCCTATGCCCACTTACCTGTGAATCCTTGCCTTTGCTTCCCTACCACCACGCAATTTCTGTGAACAGCCAAAATTTCCTGGTGTGAGTCCTTTTGCCCTGGGGCAGCTTGAGACCAAGAGTTATGGAGACTTTTGCCACTCCATGTTCAGATGGTGCTGCAAAATGGTTTGTCTGTGACTGTTCAGGGAGGCAGCTTAGCTTCTTACCCCAAGTTTGAAGGATCTCTCAATTCAGGCAGCTTTATATAGCAGGGGTATAGAAACTGTGGCTCTCCAGACATTGCTGGGCTCCTCCCTCACCTAAGCCCCAGCCAGTAGGGTCAATGGTCAGAACTAATGGGTACTGGAATTCCTGCAATATCTGGCAGGCCACAGAATTCTCCTCATTCCTGTTCTATAGTATTCTTTAGCTTACATTTTATTAATATAAGCAGGGTGCCAGAAACCCTATTACAGTGGTACCTCGGGTTACAGACGCTTCAGGTTACAGATTCCACTAACCCAGAAATAGTACCTCAGGTTAAGAACTTTGCTTCAGGATGAGAACAGAAATCACGCGGCGGCAGCAGCAGGAGGCCCAATTAGCTAAAGTGGTACCTCAGGTTAAGAACAGTTTCAGGTTAAGAACAGACCTCCGGAACGAATTAAGTACTTAAGCCGAGGTACCACTGTATGTTGTTTCGTTATCTTTTTTGGATTTGTTTTATCTTGTTATCGTTTTGTACATTTACTTGTTTCTCTTTATATTGGACAAAGCAATTTAAGAAATGGTTACAAAAAAGAGGTTTTCCAGCTCCCCCCCCCCAAAAAAAACCCCACCCTTCCTGGCACATAGAAAAAAAGCAAGTCAGGAAAAAAGTTTCAGCCTAGCATTTCCCCCAACAGGCTAGCTTTCTGGATTCAGGCAGCGATACACACGTACATGCACACACACTCCTACATTTATTTATACCAGGAAAGGCTTGCCACACTCGTTTCTGATGACTGGGTAAATGCACCCTTCACAGGAAGTAAGCAGATAAAAATAAGTCTTCATGCTGTTTGTTGAGCATGGTTACGGGACAACCAACCAGCAAGCTGGGGCAGATGAAAACTACAGTGTGAATAATGCCAGGCAAGTAACTTCTGGGATCTCACAACCGGGAGCTCGTGAACAGGACTCGTAAACAGGGGTGTTTGCAAGGATTGGTGGAGGAGACTGAAGAGAATCAGCTTCTTTCTTTTGGATTAAAGCTGGTAGTTTGTCCGAGCTGTTTGGAGGCTTGATTGTTTGCAGGCCTGGTCCTCACCAACAAGGAGGAACTGACTGACAAAGTGGAAGTACTTGGAAACTTGGGAGGAAGTGATCATGTCCTCTCCTCCTAGGGTTCATGATAACAGGGAAGGGCGTAGTTCGGACAGGCACTCTGGACTTGCCAATTTCATAAAGCTTAAAGGGCTACTGGTTGAGATCCCATTGTCAGAAATATCTGACGAGAAGGGAGCCCAAGATGGATGGGAGTTTCTTAAGGGCAAAGTACTGAAGGACCAAATGCAGACAGTTCCAACAAGAAAAGTGGGAGGCATCTAAACAAACCAGAGCGGCTGCATAAGGAGCTTACAGATGAACTGAGATTTAAGATGGACATGTTTCTTCGGCTGTGTTTGAAGCTAGAGGAACAACAAGCAAGTGGTAGATCGTCTATGTGGAGAAGACAGAAAAATGCTATTGGGTGACAGAGAGAAGGTGGAACTGCTCAACATCTACTTTGCCTCTGTCTTTGCACAAAAGGAAAGCAATGATAACAGATTAATGATGTAAGGAGGGAGCTGCAGACCAGGATAGGAAGAGATGGTAAGGGAATACCTAGCTACTTTAGTTGATTTCAAACCTCCAGGGCCTGATGAGCTGCACCCAAGGGTACTAAAGGAACTTGCGGTATAATCTCAGAACCTCTGCCTATAATCTCTTGGAAAGCATGTGAGATCCCAGCAGACTGGAGGTGGAAAAATGTTGTCCCCGTCTTCCAAAAAGGGAAGAAAATAAGATCCAGGTAACTACCGACTGGTGAGCTTGACATTGATACCAGGAAAGGTGCTAGAACAGATCACTCAATAGTTGGTCTGTGAGCACTTAGAAAAGGATGTTGTGAATACTAAGACCCAGCACAGGTTTCTCAAAAACAAGTCATGCCAGACGAATCTCATTTCTTTTTCTGATGGAGTTAAAAAACTTGGTGGATCAGGGGAACTAACTCCTTTCCAGCCCCAGAAGCAGCATTGTGTGTCATGTGACACACCTAAACACTGCAGCCGACACACTAATGTGTTATGACACACAATTTGGAAAGCTGTGCATTAATGGTTCCTTGTCATCCAGGAAAAAAGTTACAATTGGGATGCCGCAGGGTTCTGTTCAACGTTGTTATAAATTACTTAGATGAAGGAATTGAGGGGATGCTTATCATGTTTGCAGATGATACCAAATTGGGAGGGATAGCTAATGCCAAAGAGGACAGAATTGGGATTCAAAATGACCTTAACAGATTGGAAAACTGGGCCCAAGCTAAGAAAATGAATTTCAATAGGGACAATTGCAAGATTCTACACTTGGGCATGAATAACCAGCAGCACAAATATAAGACCCCTGGCTTACCAGCAGTACATGTGAAAAAGATCTAGGGGTCTTAATAGACCACAAGCTTAACATGAGTCAATAGTGTGATGCAGCAGCAAAAAAAGCTAATGCTATTCTAGGCTGCATCAACAGAAGTATTGTGTCCAGATCAAGAGAAGTAATAGTATTGTGTCCAGATCAAGAGAAGTAATAGTACCACTCTATTATACCTGGAATATGGGATGCAGGTGGCGCTGTGGTCTAAACCACAGAGCCTAGGGATCAGAAGGTTGGTGGTTTGAATCCCCACGACGGGGTGAGCTCCCATTGTTCAGTCCCAGCTCCTGACAACCTAGCAGTTCGAAAGCACGTCAAGTGCAAGTAGATAAATAGGTACCGCTACGGCGGGAAGGTAAACAGCATTTCCGTGCACTGCTCTGGTTCGCGAGAAGCGGCTTAGTCATGCTGGCCACATGACCCAGAAGCTGTCTGCGAACAAACGCCGGCTCCCTCGGCCTATAGAGCAAGATGAGCACCGCAACCCCAGAGTCATCTGCGACTGGACCTAACGGTCAGGGGTACCTTTTACCTTTATTGTACCTGGAATACTGTGTCCAATTCTAGGCACCACAATTTAGGAAGGATATTGACAAGAAGGAATGTGTGCAGAGGAGAACAACCAAAATGATTAAGGATCTAGAAACCAAGCCTTATGAGGAACAGTTGAAGGAGCTAGGTATGTTTAGCCTGGAGAAAAGGAGACCGAGACATCGAAGAGTGAGACATGCAATTACTGATTTCAGGTCATACTTGTTAATGTTGATCATTTACATCAGGGATTGAGAAATCTGTGGCCCTCTGGACATTGTTGGACTACAGTTCCCATTATCCTGGCTAGGGCTGATGAGAGCTGTAGTCCAACAGCATATGGAGGACCGCACGTTCCTTGATTTGCATAGTAGTTGCTTTTGGCTTTCTTGTTTCCCAGTTGCTTAAAACCTGTAGCTCATGGGTAGGCAAACTAAGGCCCAGGGGCCAGATTTGGCCCAATCTTCTTCTCAATCTGGCCTGCGGACGGTCCAGGAATCAGCGTGTTTTTACATGAATAGAATGTGTCCTTTTATTTAAAATGCATCTCTGGGTTATTTGTGGGGCATAGGAATTCGTTCATCCCCCCCCCCCCACAAAAAATATAGTCCGGCCACCCACAAGGTCTGAGGGACTGGCCCCCTGCTGAAAAGGTTTTCTGACCCCTGCTTAGCTCCTCCCCCTGCCTCACGCTCACATAGTTGCAACTGGTTAAATGTCAGAAAATGGTATAGAGATTACTGATCTAAAGAAATAACCCAAATAGAAGAGTTATAGAGCTTCCTACAGGTTTGTGAAGCGGATGGTTTTGTTTTGGAAAACCCTGAGAGTGGGTAGATTATCCTACACTGTACATAATAAAAAGCAGCATGTTTTTCTCCTGTAGTTTCTATACTAATGGATCTACTGAGCTTGTGAACAGAGTACCTAGGGTAAGAATATAAAGATGTTGGAGAGGAAACCAGCAGCTTATTCTCTCTCAAGCTAAACCATTAGTGGGAAGGACTTTTATGCAGACAGCTTGGCTGCTAATGAGGTTACATGAATGGCCTGACAAGCCTTGTAATGGAAAAGAGGGTAAAATAAACAACAATTACAGAGCACCTGGCTGCATTCAATTCAGATCTTCTACTAGGCCTAGTTCTCTTCAGGGCTGAGCTCTGGAAACGTGGCTTGTTGGGGAAGAGAAAGGGCAATTGCTAGTAGCAAAGGTCACTATCTTATAAGGAGTGAGACTGTTCATCTCTCTAGTGCAGTACTGTCTACACTGACTGGCAGCAGCTCTCCAGGATTTCAGGCAGGGGTCTCTCCTAGCCCTATATGGAAATGCCAGGGGCTGAACTTGGAACCTTCTGCATGAAAAGCAAGTGCTGTATTACTGAGCTACAGCTATCTATCTACCTAGCGATCATCTAGCTATCTAGTGTGGTGTAGTGGTTAAGAGCGGTAGTCTCGTAATCTGGGAAACCGGGTTCGAGTCTCCGCTCCCCACATGCAGCTGCTGGGTGACCTTGGGCCAGTGACACTTCTTTGAAGTCTCTCAGCCCCACTCACCTCACAGAGTGTTTGTTGTGGGGGAGGAAGGGAAAGGAGAATGTTAGCCGCTTTGAGACTCCTTAAAGGGAGTGAAAGGCGGGATATCAAATCCAAACTCTTCTTCTTCTACATTGCCTCAAGGCAATGTACACAGTGCAATAAACACAGCAAAAAACAGTTTTAAGCACCACGTAAAATAACAACAGATAAATTTAAAAAATAATATGAAGTAGACACCCGGCTTGCCGATCAGAAGGTCGGCAGTTCGAATCCCCGCGACGGGGTGAGCTCCCGTTGCTCGGTCCCTGCCCCTGCCAACCTAGCAGTTCGAAAGCACGTCAAGTAGATAAATAGGTACCGCTCCGGCGGGAAGGTAAACAGCGTTTCCGTGCGCTGTTCTGGTTTGCCAGAAGTGACTTAGTCATGCTGGCCACATGACCCAGAAGCTGTCTGCAGACAAACGCCGGCTCCCTAGGCCTATAGAGAGAGATGAGCGCCGCAACCCCAGAGTCGTCCGTGACTGGACCTAATGGTCAGGGGTACCTTTACCTTTAGACACCTGTTTTTGTCTTGATGGGAATGCTGTTCCACACATCCATACTGAAAGATCTGCTGCGAAATACTATGAAGTAGGCTTCTGAGGTCTTTGGAACTTGACTAAGCTCTCTATAGAAGAGCTTAGTTAAGTTCCAAAGACCTCAGAAGCCTACTTCATAGGATTTCGCAGGGACCTACTGTGTATATATGGGACAATATAGTCTCTCAAGTTTTGGTGGCAACCACAAAAGGCTAGCAACCACGGCCTGCAAAAATTAGAGAATCCCATATCACAATCCTACCAGTGCAATCGTAGCAACATGTTTCCCCTTCAGGGTGTTTTAGCTTATCACAACCATGCTGGCATCACACTAATTAGAGCAGAAATGCCAGCCAATCCAAAAAATGATAGCTTGTAGAGTTGAATTTTCCATTCCTCCCCTTCCTTATCTAAAGAATCTTCAATTAAATCCCAGATTAGATGTTTTCAGGAGTTGCTTGTTACACAAACGCCAGCTGTGCAAATATCTCTCCCCACATACAGACATATAACCTGTGGTACATTACTGCACTCCCCCAAAGTTGAATGGTTTTGCTTTGTAGTTGCATAGGTGGTAATTGGCCCATCTGCTGGGGTAAGGGACATGAAGAGGAAATTATCTGGAGAAGTTGGCAGAGAAATCAATTTAGCTGCAAAAACCTCAACAGCTGCTTTGCAATTAAATTGCAAAATACTGTACTTGCAAAACACTTGAGGCTGCCTTTTGCAACTATGGCAGAAGTGCATCAGTTGCTCCTAGAGGTTATGGTTTGTGTATATTTAAAAAATGAATATCCACCTTGCAATTTCAAGAGGATCCAAATACGCCCTCACAAACACCAGATAATTTTGCCAGTTTTGCACTCATTGGCTAGATCAACTGAAGGCAGGAACAGATTTGCATTTTACTAAACAATTCAAAAAATACTGCCTCCGTGCTTAAAAAACCCCCTCAAAATAAAGAACATTAAAAGCATCTTTTTCTTTTGAAATGAAAGCCAACAATTTAGGAAAGGAGTCTGGAAGATTCCTAAAGAGACCCATGGGGGGGCCGAACCCCTTGTGGTTATGGGCCCATGTGGCAATGAGAATTCCAGTGGCAGAAATGCGAACTCTGTTCCCTGTGTCAGTCCTAGGTGTGGGAAACTTTTGGTCCTCCCGATATGGCTGAACTACAACTCCCATCATTCCTGGCCATGCTAGTTGGGGCTCATGGGAGTGGTAGTCCAGCAACATCTGGAGAGCTAAGGTTTCCACATACCTGGTCTGTCTTCTTCACCCAAAAGCAGCCCTGCCATACCTCAATTTGTCCCCACAAGATGGGAAGAGCAGACTGTTGAAAACCAAGTAAGAAGCCTCATTCGTATTTGAACTAAGACAGACACATCCTTATTTCAGAGCTCTGCCAACTCACCATTTGAAAATTAGACCAACAGACTATGTGGCTAAGAAGATGTGAGTATTTAAAAAACAAAAAAATCAGTGTGAAAAAAGTTATTTTTAGTGGAAATCATTTTGGGAAGGGCAAGAAAGATCTTCTCCTGGACAACTGGGCTTTCAGAATGTGTGTTTAAGAAACCTCATTTCGCAACTAGTGTAAACAAACTCATAGAAAAAAACATGCAAATATACATATAAATGCACAGCTTCCTCTTTTTAATGGAGAGAAGCATCTGAGAATGCAGTCTTGTAAAACTGGGCAGAAGATGCAGATCCAAAACATCTGTTGTCGCCCTGCATTTTATGGATAACAAAAATCTTGACTTTTTCTATCCAGCTGATGGGCCTGCCAGTAGCATGGAAGAGACACAACTCAGGGTACAGCATCTGCTTTCCATGCAGAAGGTCCAAGGTTCAATCCCAGGCATCCCCAGGTAAGACTGGGAGTGTTGGCTATTTGCAGATTAGTTGCACTGCAGAAAGCATGCTGGGGAGACCACACAATCAAGAAACGCAAAATAACTTTTGCTAGGTTTTAATAACAAAAACAAAAACTCCTTTTACACTAAATTACAATATATCAATAAGCATGACCCATCCACCAGGGTACTGAGAGAGCTACATGCTGCTCTTTCCCCAACAACTTAATTACCACAACTTAACAGCACCTGCTATACTGTTTCACAGCTGTAAAACAAGGTCATGTTATTTGCTCTGGCCTTTAAAGAAATACACATCTTGTGGAACAATAATGAACCTTCAAATTTAAAGAGACCATTCAACAGGGAGAGCCCTGTCTGAAACCCTGAAAATCCTTTGCTAGTCAGTGTAGATAATACTAAGCTAGATGGACCAATGATCTGCCCTGCCATAAAGGCAGCTTCCTATGGTCTAATGCTTTAAAAAAAAATATTGTTTCACCAAGGCACCTCTGCTCCTAGGGCAATATTAAGTTGGGGTTTTTATTGGCAAGGGGCATGGCTACAAGGTAGAGCATCTGCTTTGCAAGCACAATGCAAGCACAATGGTTCCCTGCATCCCCAGATAGGGCTAGGAATGTCTCCTGCCTGAAACCCTGGAGAGCTGCTGCCAGCCAGTGAAGGAAATTCTGAGCTAGATAGAACAATGGTTTCCAGGCAAGAATGCTGACTGTTTTTTAAAATATGTATCATTACTAACGTGCACAGCACTTTGCAGAGTAGCAGTATACAAAAAGATTATTGGCACCTGGAGCATAATCAAGGTGAAGAGGCAAGGAGTTGAGATAAAGAATAAATGTGAGCAGATGGGGAGCTGTGAGGGGTGAGGACGGGTGCAGAATTGTTGAGCAAAGCTAGGAGGATGCAACTCATGTGCAGGGAATTTATCATGAATCAAAGCTTAGGGATAGAACAAAACTGGGCTGTAGGAGGTTTAAAAAGGGATGTAGCCATTGTGGTGCCCTCTAGAGTCCAGATGTTGTTGGATTCCAAATCCCATCAACCCCATCCAGTTCAGTCAGAAGTCAGAGATGATGGGAGCTGTAGTCTAGCAGCATCTGAAAGACACTGCAGTTGTCTGGGCTAGCTAAAGGAGAATGAAGCGGTGTGGAATTGGGGGGGGGGCGAGAAAAATGGGGTCATTATTACTGCTAACTCAGCATTTTTATATGCTTGCCTAAAGACATAAGATCATGGGTAGGCAAACCTAAGGCCTGGGGGCCGGATCCGGCCCAATCACCTTCTAAATCTGGCCCACAAATGGTCCAGGAATCAGCGTGTTTTTACATGAGTAGAATGTGTCCTTTTATTTGAAATGCATCTCTGGGTTATTTGTGGAGCATAGGAATTCATTCATATTTTTTTCCAAAATATAGTCCAGCCCCCCTCAAGGTCTGAGGGACAGTAGACTGGCCCCCTGCTGAAAAAGTTTGCTGACCCCTGCATAAGATCATAAGGAAAGCTTGCTGAATCAGGTCAATGGCCTATCTAGCCCAGCACTGTGTTCTCACAGCGGCTAACTATGGTCTGATGGAAATCAGAAAGGAGGCTCTGAGCACAAGAGCACTCTTCCTTCCAGAGGTTTACAGCGACTTGTATTTAGAAGCATTACCACCTCAAACCACAGAGGCAGAGCGCAGCCATCCTGGCCAGTAGCCATTGATAGCATTCTCCTCCATGAATTATGTCCAATCCTCTTTTAAAACCATCCAAGTTGGTGGCCCTCACTGCCTCCTATGAGAACAAGTTCCATAGTTCAACTACGTGCTGCGTGAAGTACCGTATTTTTCGCCCCATAGGGTGCACCGGCCCATAGGTTTTGGACGGGGGGAAATAAAGGAAAAAAATTATTTCCCCCCCAGGCGCGGGGCTGGGGTGGGGGAAGCCCGAGCTTCCCCCGACCCCAGCCCCCAGAACAGGCTGCTATCCGCAAGCCTAGGGAGCCCGGCAGGAAGTCGCACTGGTCTCCCCTGGCTTGCGGATATCTGCCTGAAGCTGAGCAGCGCGCCCCCAGCTTCAGGATGCAGGCTGCTATCCACAAGCCTTGGGAGCCCGGTGGGAAGTCACGCCGGGCTCCCAAGGCTTGCGGAGAGCTGCCTGGGGCGCGCTCCGCTGCGCTCCCCGGGTTTCGGGCTGCAGGCTGCTGTCCGCAAGCCTTGGGAGCCCAGCGGGAACTCCTGCGGGCTCCCAAGGCTTGCGGATAGCTTCCTGAAGCCTGGAGAGCGAGAGGGGTTGGTGCGCACTGACCCCTCTCGCTCTCCAGGCTTCAGCGAAAGACTGCATTCACTCCATAGGACGGACACACATTTCCCCTTCATTTTTGGAGGGGGAAAAGTGCGTCCTATAGGGCGAAAAATACAGTACTTTCTATTATCTGACACTTCGTAACTTCAAGGTGAGCCAGGGCCTTCCTGAATCAAGGTTCATAGCTCAGTGGCAGAACATTTCTGCAGTGCACGGGGTTGGACTAGATGACCCTTGGGTCCCTCCCAACTCCATGATTCTATTATTCTGACATCTGCTTTGCACCCAGAAGGTCACAGACACAATCCCAGGTATCTCCAGGTAGGGTTGGGAGATTCCCTGCCTGAAACCCTAGAAAGCTGCTGCCAGTCAGTATAGACCAGCCTTTCTCAACCTGTGCGTCCCCAGATGTTACTGAACTACAACTCCCATCACCCCTAGCTAGCAAGGCCAGAGCTCAGGGATGATGGGAGTTGTAGTTGACCAACATCTGGGGACCCACAGGTTGAGAACCGCTGGTATAGACTATTCTGAGCTAGATGAGGGTCTGACTCAGTATAAAGCAGCTTCCTGCGTTCCTATGTGCCATCTCAGCCACTATGCTACGTCTAGTTATTTGTCCCACTTTTTTTCTGAGGAGCTCACGGTTGTGTACACTGTTCTCCCCCTCTCCATTTTATCCTCACAACAACCCTGTGAGGTAGGTTAGCTTGAGAGTAAGTGACTGGCCCAAGGTCACCCAGTGCACTTTGTAGCTGAGTGAGGATTGGACCCCTTGTTTCCTGGGTCCTAGTATGGCAGTCTAACTGCTGCACCACAACAGCATCCCATACTTTGTCTGTTGGGCTAGTGTAGATGTTCAGTCAAGCTGCTAAGCTCCAGGGCCCTCAATCATCAAATTATAAAAACTCTTACTGCAGAAGTGACAGAAGTCACTGTTACCATGCCTGCCGTCTCAGATGGCTTTTTCTTTTTTTTACCCAGGGTAAATTAAGGTCATGCAGTTAAATGTATTTGTTACCAAGGGATATTTTTACCAAGGGATATTATCCTTTCTCCAAACCAAAGAAAGCATATAATAATGTAGGATGTAAACTGCTTTGAGATTTGTTTATTTTCTTAAATATAAAGCAGTATAGAAATGAAAAGAATAATTGTTATTATTCGTTTCATTTCTATAGTGCTTTATATTTAAGAGGGGGGAAATACCCTGGAGTCCCACAGGATGTATGTACCTTTTTTTGTAAAGGCAACACACCCACCCCAACATCACTTGCTGGTTCACTTAAGAGGCACCAGACACATCAAACAGCTTAAGCTGTTGCCTGTCTCACACATGTTTTCCATCACAGTGCCAGACTGTGGTTAGATAAACCTGTACCAGGACAGGAACAGTTGACACTGGCTTATGAGATAATACCGGATTGTCTTTTCCTTTGTCCAAAAGGTAGGAAGCAGAGACGTGTCTTTTACCTTCCACACACCTGAACAACAGAATGTGTCACCAACTGTTCTTCCCCTAACGCCAAAAGAATTAAAACAACTTTCAACACCTCCTGGTCATTTTCTTCTTAAAAAGTAAACCAGGGGAATAGTTTGGGGCAGTTTTCTACCTTCTCATAAGCTAAAAAGAAATATACACAAGGGCTGTAAGGAACCAGATGTCACATGAGCTGAGGAAAGGAAAGGAAGCTTGAATTCCATTCATTCATGAACACAGGGAATAGGGAGGAAAGTTTTTAGCTTCTCCGCTTTTGATCCAGAGAAAGGTGAAGATTTGGCTCTTCTGGCTAATAAGCAACCCCAGGATAAGATTGGTTTGTGTTAGCACTCTATTTAATCTGGAGTGCCAAACAGAGGTACTGATGCCTCCAGTACAGAAATCAGTAAAAAAAAATAATGTAAGAAAAGACTTGGGGTTTTTGTAAACTTGAATACTACTCAAATATAATAGATAAAGGTAAATATAAAACACAGACAAATGATCAGCATATTACCAATACACCGATCAATTTCCTCATGCTTTGTCCAGTATTTTGATAGGATCATGGTCTCTGAGAAAAACCCCTTTTCTGACTTTACATTACTAGTTCTTTGTGCCCCCACTCCAAAGGTAGGGTACATTAAATGACTCACACATTCTACAGAGGGAAAGAGAGATTATACTGGTGGTGGTTAGACACCATAGCACTCCCAGATTCCAGAAGCTCATGGGTAGAGAAACTTCCATTATTTTCACATTTTCTTTCCCTTTCTCCCCCCCCCCCCACATTTATAGACCACGTTAAATAAACACCCTATTCCAACATCTACTTTACCATTTTCTGGAAATTGCCAAATCTCTTACCTCCCTCAAGGATAGGATAGATATAGCAAAGAAACGCACAAGACACGCCTTCATTTCTCTAACGTGCAACCCCATAACGTTAAAGCGAATCCCTCTAATCTCAGAGGCAAATTATTGCCAGTGGGGAGGAAAATCTATGATGTCTGAAAGTGGTCTTCTGTCCCATAATAATCCAGAGTTCTCTTTAAGGGGAATGGTGAATTTCACACTAGTCATCTGCTCGATTAGCTACTCGATAGGGCTGGCTATTCACAGGTGACCTGAGCCCCAATTATCACAAAACGCAAACGTTTAGGAGGTTGAGGAGGCGAGTGATAAAATCCTGGCCCTATAGACATTGCTTTGGTTTCTCATTCTGTCTGTGATGGGGAAGTAAGGCTTATCCCACACCAATCAAGCGAACACTCTATTAAGCAATCTTCCCCCGTCATTTTAGATTAGATCACTGAAAGATGGGGCCGCGCCCCTCAAATTTGTGCGGGTGCAAAGCACTCGGGAGAGGGGAAGGCTGATCTCCCGATTCCCTCTGAGGTGGATCCTATTATGTTGGGAACGAGATTGCATCCTCAACGACCAATCCCCCCCCCCAGCACACACACACACACAGCAGGCACAAAATACCAACACCCCCACTCCGCAAATCTTCTCTCCTATATAATACAAAGAAGACGCGTGAAGGAAAGGAACTGGACGCTGCAGAAATATCTGCAAAACCCCATGTGTGCAGTAAGGCCTCCTCTGCTTCAAGAGAAAGTGGGGCGAGGAAAGAGGAATGAATCCACACCCACCTGGTCTGCAAAATCCTCTGCGGTGCTCATCAGATCGTTCTGCCCCATGGCTAAGTGAGTGCTGCGGGAGTGGCGAAGGGAGCAGTGGGTTTCGCTCCAGGATGTGTTGGGTGCTGCTCAGCGCCTGGGAGACCGGACTAGCCGCTCACTCAAACACACCCCCGACAACCCCTCCTGTGGTGGCTGCTGGCAGCTTGCTGCTGCTGCTCTTATTGCAACGAGGCTGCACAGGAAGTGGCTGCACTCGCTGCGAGAAGCACTGCCACGTAGGCCAACTCTTAAAGGAACCGCACGGGGCGGCGGAGCCTCCGAGGAATCTCCCTTTGGCTTGGGGAGGAGAAGCACCACAGACTGACCCGGGAGGCCTCGCTCGTGGAATTGGAGCCGGTGCACGTGGAGTCGCCCCACAGAAGGCCCCGCCACACTTCCCGAGGCCAAGGGCGCAATCCCGTGCGCAATGCAGAGGACTGGAAATAAAACCCCAGTGAACCCTTAGCCTCTGAGCAAAACCTGCATTTGGTATATTAGGGTTGCAGTTTTGCAGTCCGTTTCTAAGGCATCTCGCAAGTAGGGGGATCTCCAGACCAATGTGTTCTGCAACTATTATTATTATTATTATTATTATTATTATTATTATTATTATTATTAATGTATTTGTTCACTTGTTATTGCCAAGGTCTCTAAGCACCCTCCATTTAAAAACATCAAACATAGGAAGCTAACTTATACTGAGTCCAACCAGCTCAGTATTTGTCTTCACTATCTTGCAGCAGCAAATCGGGGTTTCCAGGCAAGAATTCCTTCCCAGCCATACCTGTAGATGCCACTGGGGGCTGAACCTGGGACCTCCTGCATGCAAAGCAGATGCTGTACCACTGAACTACACCCCTTCCTCTAAAGATGAAGTAAGATTCTAGTCCTTACAGCTCTGAATTAAAGGCTGAATTAAATAAAAAGCTGTCATCTGCTGAGTCTTGTTCAGTATTGCCTACACTGACTAGCAGCAGCTTCTTGGGGTTTGGTACAGGGAATCTTTCCCAGACCTATCTGGAGATACTCAGGATTGAACTGTGGACCTTCTGCATGCAAGACAGATGATCTACCATTGAACTATGGCCCTTCCCCAATGCAGTATATAAACATTATAGTATTACAAATTCAAATGAGACATTTAACATTATCATACAGACACAATTCATGGACATACTGTATATACACACTATAACAGTAACAGGAAGCACTGGCAGAATGCTAACAGCAGAATAAAATCAGTTTGGTCCATCAAAAGCCTGAAGGGAAAGATCAGTCCAGCACCAAAAAAGATGGCAGTGAAGGTGGAAGGTGAACTTCACCTGGGAGAGCAATCCACAGGTGAGGAACCACCACTGAAAAGGCCCTTTCCCTTGTCACCGTCTTTTGAGCCTCCCTTGCAGGGAACCTGGAGAAGGGTCAGTCACTCTTAGCCTAACATTCTTCACAGGGTTGTTGTGAGGATAAAATGGGAAGAAGCAAAACTGTGTACACCACTTTGAGTTCCTTGGAGGAAATATGGGATATAAATGTAAAACTAAAAGCAACAATGGCAGTATTAACTATGCTGATTGCCGATTTGCCACTGGGCCAAATTCAAAGCACTTATGTAGAGACCCAAATAACTACAAGAGGGCCTCCTATATCAATTATGCCTAACACTAGATCACTTCCCAACTTTTTTTGTCAAAGCTGACCCAGATATTGCCCCAAGGCAGCCTATACACATAGAAATCTTACAGGGAAACCCATAACAGTATATACGTATTTGTATGGTAGCATACTGCTATTGCGTCCCACCTGAGGTCAGGTGCTGCAGCCAGGTAGTGGGACTCCCAACCTATCTGTTGAAGTCCAGTGCATCTCAGAGACTAAAAATCACGAAATCTCTGGTTTGAATCTCACCTCTCCTGTGATGAACTCACCAGGTGGCATTAAACAAAGCCATTCTTACTTAACCTTCCTGCCTCCCATCTGCAATGTGAGAATGGCAAACAACAGTCTCTACATTACAGGGCTGCTGTAGGGAACATAGCATATGTCAGGCATGCAGGCATCCTCTTGGACTTGATGGTACTTTACCTGGTTACACAAGTTCTTCAAAGAGATTTGACTCTTTTAGCTTTCAATTCCAATTTCCTTTTTACCAATACTCTGTGTTGTGTGTTGTTGTTTTTTTTGTGGTTTCCTCTTTTGAAGTGATTGTGCTGTACTTTCCTTCACACCAGTTCCCTTTGCATACAACACTGAATCTGACAGCAATATGGCACTGCTTCCAAAAGATTCAGCAATGCTGGCATCACACACCAGGTCCTCAGTGTCACTGCTGAATAAGCCATCTTGAGCTCCTGGGAGGGAAAGGTGGGATATTAAATGGAAAAATACATAATAACATCCCAGGTTTTGCTTCCCATATCGTCAGCATCACAATCAACTGTTTTAGGACACAATCTTATATCACATCCATACTATACATTTAAAGCATAATTAAAGCATGACTTCCTCCAAAGGATAATGGGAATTATAGTTTTTTTTAAAAGGGTGCTGAGAATTGTAGCTCTGTGAAAGAGTAAATTAAACTTCCTATGATTCTTTGGGCAAAGCCATGTACTTTAAATGTATGGTGTGCATGTGATCTTAGTGTATCTAGAAATTTGACCCAGCTTAAGACTTTATTCACATTGGATTTTTAGGATGCTTCATTCAGCTTCTAGGTTTATGTTGCTTTTTAAACATGCCTTTCAGTTATGATCTTAATGAATATGACTAAGGTCCATAACTTTCATTGTATTTACTCTGAGTAAACTTAGTTGAAAAGCACCTTTTAAAAAAGATCTCTGCCTTGACTATTTATCTGTACAGTGGTACCTCGGGTTAATAACTTAATTCGTTCTGGAGGACTGTTCTTAACCTGAAGCACCACTTTAGCTAATGGGGCCTCCTTCTGCTGCTGTGCCGCTGCTGCACGATTTCTGTTCTTACCCTGAAGCAAAGTTCTTAACCTGAAGCCCTATTTCTGGGTTAGCAGAGTCTGTAACCTGAAGGTATGTAACCCAAGGTACCACTGTTTTGCTTTTAAATCTAACTTCATTTGTTGAGTTTGGTATTATTTTAAAATCTGCTTTAGTTCCTTATATGATTGTGAATTGCCTTGAGACTTAAAATCAACAATGATCCATAATAATAAGAACATCATCATAATTATTGTCATTGTCATCTAGTTTTCATAACAATGAAATGCGGCCACCTGTCCTTTCATAATAATTGTTTAATAATAATAATAGACATTCACTGATTTTCAGTTAGCACAAAAGTGCTACCCAGCAACCTTCACTTAGACCTATGATTAGCAAATATTTGCAAAAGCCTAAAAGTAACTTTGCAGACTTTTGGTTGTTGGGTTTATTTTTAAAACCAGCTGTATTAGCAAAGGAAAGACACCCTTCACTGTTCTCAAATCACTTTGACCCTTTAAAAAAAACTTCATTGTGGGCCAAAAAAACCACTTTGCACATGCTTTGGAGCCTTTTTCTCTAAAACACGTCACGCCCTCTAGAGGAATTGGTGTGCAGCAACCCTAATAAAATATCACATTGGGATTTTTGTGTGTGTGAGAGAGAGAGAGAAAGAGAGAGAGAGAGAGAAAGACAGTGGGAAGAAGTAGGTTCCGTTTTTGGGTAAGGTTATAAGCTAAATTCTAAAAAGTTGGCGGGGGGGCGGAACTGCGAAATACATTTGGATATCATAAAAGGAGCATATATATATGTCTATATGCTGAAGAAAGTTGAAAATGGGCGGGGAAAGGTAAAACAGGTCTGAGGACGAGGCAGACTTTTTTCCCGCCACAGAATTGGCAGGTGAAGAACGAGTGGGGGGAGGGGAGAGGAGGTGGAACGCGGGAGCCGTTTGTGTCTGTTGCCCCTCCCACTTCCCGGCCAGCCATGGAGAACTACGAGGTGTGGCGGGGGGGGGGGGGCAGAGGGTTGGCCTGAGGAGAGGCGGGGGGGACGACGATTTGAGGCGAGGAGGAGGGAAAGCAACGGAAGTTTGACTCCTCCCCCTCCCCAAACATGCATTTGAAGTGACGGAGGGGGCAGGATTGGAAAAAAATCTATACTGTATCTCCCCCCAGACTACAATTCCCGTCATCCCCTGATGGTTTGTCCATTCTGGCTCACGAGGCTGCTGGGAGTTGTGGTTCAACAACATCTGGAGGATGAAAGGAGCATTTCTATAGCCTCTCCACATGCTGTTAAGGCTAAAATTCTCTTTATCCCCCGACTACTGTACTGGACCACGCTGACGTCTGGGAGTTGTAGTACAATCACATCTGGAAGACCGAAATGACTGCCCGTCCTCTATGTATATTTATTTCATTACAGGGGAGTGGTAGGAATTGGGGGTGGGGGGTTAACATATGGGCAATTTGTGTGAGAAGGCATCTCAAACCTAGGGAGGGGTGTCTGGGGGCAAGCTAGGTTTTCAAGGAGGGGATGGATGGAACAATGCTGCTATCATTATTGTCATTCGTAGACTTTTTATTTTACTATTCCCACTAGAATGGTTGTAAAGGTGTGGGGAAGTGTTGCCTCCATATGGGTCTTGAGTCCTGGAAGAAAGAGAATCAGTGAGAGATGCAAACAGGGAATGTTTCAACTGTTTTTAATTCTGAATTTTAAATGTTCTCCAAAGAATAATTGGAACTGTAGTTTGTTAAAGGTGCTGGGAATTGTAGTTCTGTGAAGGAGTAAACTGCATATATTTAAAGCACATTTAATGCGCATCTGAAGTTCATAACTTCCCCCAAAGAATCCCAGGAGCTGTTGTTTCCCCCTCATAGAGCTATAAGTTCTTTAACTAAGTTCCCATGTATTTTTTAAAGGAGACTGTCAGCTTTGAATGTGTGTTGAATGGGCTCTAGATGTACAGTGTGGATCTGCTTGAAAATTCCTTCTCTTTGTTCCCACTATATTGTGATGGATCAATTTGGAACTCCCTGCCAGTGCCTATTGACATCAGACAGGCACTTTTACTGTCTCCTTTGTGACAACTGCTAGAAACATTTTGTGTGTACAGTGTAGATCTGATTAAAATAATCAATTTATTTCTTCACAATATATTGTGATCTGAGTAACAAGCATTCTGTGCATAACTGAAATGTATCTGTCTTGTCTTGA